GTAAGCCATATTTTTCTGACAGTTTCACAGGAGAGTGTGAGTCAAGGCAAATGCTGCCAGTCATTTTCTGAACGAGCAGGCGTCTTCCCAGAGCTTGGCCACACCACTGAGTTTAACAGTATCTTCAGGAGGCATTTTAGACCAGTGCTGGTACCACGACCAGTGTGAAATGGCACTTTGATTCATTACTTATCCACGCTGGGATTAGAAATTGCACATGCTGAGCTCAGTTTGGCTAACTCAAGTTAAAGTAATGGTGGGAACATTTTAGCCTGAGGAATTAAGGCCTGTAGGAGAATATGAAATTGAATCCAGTGATTAAAACCAAGCCAGCTTGTTCTGATTTCTGCTTTAACCCCAGTTAACATGATGAGCATACCAGGGTTATGGCCCACAAATACCATGGTCTAGTCACTTGCTGAACTGGAGAAACCCTTACTGGGCAGCGTTACATACATGTGTGAGCTCAGTTCAGTATCATCTCAAGCTCTGTGAAGCATCAACTTGAGATAAAGCCATTCTGCTCTTATCATTTCAGTTTTTCAGTTTGCCTTTAGTTTCCAAGGTTTGTGTGGGGGTAACTTTATCTCAGTGGCTGCTTTATTCATCTGGATGCTGATGTCTGCAGCAACTACACAGCTCACACTGCCCAGCAGTTCACAGCAGTCACTAGAGCCTGGCTCCTTGACATCTGACAGCACCAGCACAAAGTTATCTCTCTGGGGTGAAAGATGGGGCCCAAGACCTGCTTCATATCAGGTATCAAGTTCAGAGTCATTCCTCTTTAAGAGCAAGAGATGTGTATGGGGATGGGATGGGATGGGATGGGATGGGATGGGATGGGATGGGATGAGTGGGATGGGTGCAAGAAGCAAAGTCAGACTAAGCCTCACTTTGGTGATAGGTGAGCTGCTGTGATTGATATAGGAAAAAGGGTAGGAAGCTATGGGGAATTTAAAGAAGAAAAGCCTGAAGAACAGATTTCTTTGCAATGTGGGAAGGCTGGCAGTAAGTCATAGTAACAGTAACTATGAAAGACTTGGCTATTTCAGTTCTGCTGACTGCTTTATCATGAACAAGCTGTTAGCACAGTCCATCTTAAGGCTGTAGAAGTACTTCCAACATATAAAACCCCATCTGAAGGCCAAGAAAGTCACAATAAACTGGCTGAGACTAAAATTTCCTGAGTTGGGGTTGTGCCTCAGGCTAAATTTGTTTGGGAACATTCAGCCAAAAATTTTTTAATCCCTTTCTAATGGCTGACATCGTTCTTAGAAATCTATTGTTTATCTGACCTTCTCCTAACCCGTTAGAAAAATTTCTGGTGGTATTTTCCTTTCTCAGTTTAATGCTTTGAAGCATTACACGCAAAATTTGGCAGGAGGCAGCTTTCTGTTAGGAAGACACATTGCACCAGCTCTCTAAAACTGTTCTCAAACTTGGCCATGTTACAAGCACTTGAAAACCCTGTTTGCGTGTGCTTGATAGAGTTCTCAGTTTTTCAGCTAAAATTCCCCAGAGATGTCTGAAAAGAGCAGGTGGTGGTTATTGCCGGCTGCCGGAGGCTGGCAAAGGTGAATGACAAGTGTGAAGTTGGTCTCCTCCACGATCCCCTTGCCCACTATCAGCACTGAAGCAGTTGGGACAAGAGGCCATCCGAGTGAAGGCAAAACAGGCAAAAGATAGATGGTGGGCTGAAAAAAAGAAAGTGGAGGAAGAACCAAAAAAGTCTGGGACTGGGTAGGAGACATTTCTGGTCTCAGAAGAGGCCAGCAAAGATGAAAGGTTTCTGGGGTCTTCACCAACCTCATCTCTGCTGTAGCCTGGGGGATGGTTAGCCAGGGAATGAGAGCAGCAGGCTTCACAGTGACCTTTTGTGCTGTTCCAAGAGGCTTTGCTCCTCCAGAATGAAACACTGCTGAGGTTTGGATCCATCTGATGGTGTTAGGGGAAAAGCAGTCAGCCTGCTGGAATTAGGAGCAAAAATTTCTGAAAGCTCAAGGAAGTATTAATGTTATGTAATCAGTGCATCCTGGCTGGCACCAGTACTGAAACGAAGAGGAAGAGAAGGAAGAGTGTTTCTTCAGCCATAGAAAGATTTTCACCATACCTCTGTGAAGGAATGAGTATGTGATGCTGGGTAATTATTGAAACAGCAATTTTCATAAACAGGTGCTAATCTGTGACCTTCATGTCTGCTGGGGAGCCAAACCTGTGATCCTGCAGAAGGATCTACAGAAGCTACTTGCAACCTCAGCTGGAAACTGGACATGGGTCCTGGACAGCTGTGTGTGGCAGCTTCTAGGCTTTTCCTGTTAGGCACCAACACTTAGAAGGTTATTTGGACTTAATGTCTCCATTTTCTCCATTGGTGGGTCCTCAGAGGGATGATGTGAATACAAAACATTGCCTGGTCCAAACCCATGCAGTTACTGATGACCACTGTGCAAAAAACCCCACCAAAACACCCTTATGGGCAGGGTGTGAACAGGAGGTGGAAAAATAGGCTTTGAAGCCAAATACTATAATTAAAACAGGATTAGTAAATGATCATCATCTCTTCTGTGCACTGAATAAAGGGAGGGTCCTTCAGAAAGGAAAAATAGCATGAGATTGTAATTATGGATGTAATTAGAGATGATCTTACGGAATATATGGACAAAAAGGCTCAATTAAAATTGTGCAGGCAACTCTTGCATTACCTTACTTCTGGATGCTTCGGTTTGCAATATTAATACGTTTTTTCTTAAAGCTGCCTTTCTGTTTGTATTGCAGGTTGTCCAGTGAAAGTGGTGATGTCTGCATGCAACTTCTGTAACTTCACTTAGCTCATCTCTTAATTGACTGTGCACAAAGACATGCACTCAGCACAGCAGGGCTGCAGCTAGCTAAAATTAATGTGTATGGATTTGGAGTTTTTTTCCCTGACTTGAAAATCACTCAAAATATTACTTTATTAAAAAGAAATTAATGTCTTTCATTCCTCAGAAGGATAATTACCCTTTTCTCTTTCTCTCTCTCAGAAAGAGATTTGTTGTCTATTGTTTCTTTGCTTGCTTTGAAATCTGTTCTTTTGAAATTACCTAAACTATAACACTTGCTTGACTCCTTTGCAGGAATGGCAGTCCATGCTACTAGCCAAAAGTGGAGGAGCTGTCTAGTTTGTAGCCTCAAGGGGGTAGTAGAAAACATCATTTACCCAAAGACCTTTTGGAAAGGTGTAAACTGGGGTGGGTGTAGTACTTTTTTTGATGTTCATTAAAAGTAAATCCACTTCCCAAATTCAAATCAATTATCCTTCTTACAGCCTGGAGGTGAGTCATGGGAGTTCCAACAGCCTGCTGACTTCTTGCAGGATTTCATATTTCAAGTTTCATGGTTGCTGCAGGCAAACTTACCCTTGACCATTATGTCCTGAACCAATTCTTCCTTTTTGTGAATAGCAAACTCAGCAGACCATCTCCCCTAGTTGTCTCATCAATCACCTGTGTTGAGAAATTGTCTTTAGCACGCTCCAGAAGCCACCTGGATTATGCCCAATTATACAGCCCTTTTGATTAAAGTACACCCATGAATTCTAAGGCCTGCGATCATGTGAGATGGATCTATCGACTTTCCAGTCTGTAGTGAGAGCCTTGTACAACATTGCCCGTGTTGCTTTGCCACCTTCTCCTTGCCCACAAGCACTTGACTGGTTCATCACCTGTCCCATGGATAAGCTCTGGCCACTCCTCTGCATAAAGCACAACCACTCCTCACCCCTTCCAGCCTGTCTTTCCTGAAGACCCTATGTCCATCTGAAGCAGCCCTCCAGTCATATGAACTATCTCTCCATGTCTCTGTAATCCAAAACAAATCATAATTCTGCACTTGTGTGGGAGCTAATAATCCCCCCAGTTGTTTCCGATGCTGTGTATGTTTGTTTGCAGATACTTGAGATGAACCCTGAGTCATGATGCTGGCACAAGTGACATGAAGCTTCATGCTGTAGACACTCCAGGGAGGGGACATCTGCACACAGATAATGAGTGTTTAGGTGCCTTCTTGGGCAAGGGGCATTCCGAGGCCCTGGCTGCATACCAGAGCTGACTGCACAGTCTTTGTAAGTGCATCACTTTGCAGTCTGAGCTCTCCACCATTGTTGCAGCAATTGCTCCATTAGGAGCTTTTCTCTGATCACACTGAGATCACAGATCAAACTGTGATGGGTTTACTGCTTCTTTTTAGCTAGAACTAACTGTCGTAAGAGCAAGCTTTATTGATCTCTGATGGCAGAGATGCCAGGAAAACATAGCTGTGCTGCTTTAGGAAATACCTCGACTACCTCCATAATTGTGTTTGCATACTGCTGCCCCAAAAGCTGGAACTTCAAGGCTCCTTGCAATATGTGTGCTTTCTCACTTGTAGCTGAGCTGTGTGCCACAAAAGTCAAGGTCATCGTGCTGACTGACATTTGGAGTTGGATAAAGATTGTTATTCCCAGAATGATTTTTAAAGTCTCGGGTCACCATTTTAGGCTAATTTCTGTGACAAGTGCTTTCTGTAGGGGAGAGTTTCACCTAACCTGAGCTTTCTCAAGGGCCAATGGAACAAATTGTCAGCACTGCAAACAGAAACCTGGATGGTCTGTGTTTAGGAGCTGCTTCTCTCTTGACTTGTCTGTAACAAACAAGAAGGCCACACAGATTTAAACAAACTCAAAATCGCCCCATGAGAATGTAGCACGGCTGGGTTGCTTGTTGTGAACTGCAATCCCACCTCAGATGTGGGAGAGGGCAACCAAACACCTGGACCTCACCCAACCCTGCCCCACGGAGGGCACCACTGCAGCAGCTGCCACCACCAGGCAGGGACACAGGCCTCTGAGCTCCGGCTTTGGAGGAGGAGCAGGAAGAGGAGGGATGACCCTTCTCACCACTCCTCCAAGGCTGAGCTGAGCAGAGGAGGGGCTTTGGGTCTGAGCCAAGTTTCACATTCAGAGGCCAGCGACTGCAGAGGAGCCGGGAGACTGAGGGTGTGGGGAGGAGGAGAGAGCAAGAAAAGGGCAGCTGCCTGGAGAAGGAAGTGAGAGAGAAAAAAGGGGGAAGAGGAGAGGCAAAAGGAGGCAGAAACAGTCTTAGGTCAAAAGAAGAAGGCCAAGGAGTAGACAGGCTATGAAATGGCATTGCTCCTGTGGTTGGGGGCCCAGCTGTCATCTTGCTGGAGCAACATCTCTGTACTGGGAGTTTTTCTTACAGTCTTTGCTTTACTTCTTGACTTCATGAAGCGGAGGAAGAAGTGGAGCCATTACCCGCCAGGCCCTGTGTCGCTGCCGTTCATTGGGACCATGCTGTACATTGACTTCCGCAACCCCCACCTCTCCTTCAGCCAGGTGAGTGCCAGCCCCAGTGACAAAGCACCCCTCAAATGACCATGAGCCCAGGAGGGATGGGGACACCCTGACATGATCTGTCCTTGCACAATGCTGAAGAGCAATGCCCTCTCCAAAGTTCAGAATGAAGCTAGTCACTGCCGAAGGACTCTGACCTGGCACATACAGATAAATAGATAATCACACACCAATACTCACCAGCCTCCATATCCCAATCTCTGCATGAGCTTAGTGGGAGGTGCTGTTGTTTCCCCAGTGATAGGTGATGCTTGCTGTGCTGCAGAGTTGGCCAGCAGTTTAACATGTGGGCACGTGTTGGGGCAAGGGAACAGGGAGATGTACAAACAAGGGAAGACAAGCAAGTATCTGTGGGCTGGGGATGTGGCTGCAGGAACAGCAGACTTCCCTGCAGGTTACTTAAGCACACCTACAGGCATGTGCCAGTTTCAGTTAAAGGGATCAGCTTGCTGATTTTCCCCAGCAGCAATGTCCAGAATCTCAGGTGCTAGTGTTCTTATTCAAAGTCAGGGCTTAGCTTTTCTTAAATGAAAAAGCACAGCACAGCTTGCAGAAGATAAACCACGGGGGTTTTGTGCTTCAATCTGCAAACTCTAAAAGCCTTTTCTCTAGGACAGCACCATTCAGCTGTCTGTCCAAAATCTGCCAAATGGAGAAACTAAATATAGTGTCTGTATTATTTGCTTGCATATAGTCCAAAAGATACCATTTTAAAATCACATCACATCACATCTGGGTCATGCTAACCACAATCTTGACCAGTAATCTCTTTTAATGATGTATTTCTAGTGCCGGTGAAGTGCTAATTCCCTTTCCAACCCCACTGCAAATACAGTCTTAAGTACTTCAGTTCTTTGCATTGCTACAGTGCAGAAATGAAGACACTTAGGTTTTTAACAACAACAACAAAAAAAAGACAACGGAAAAAAGAAAACGGAGTACAGTCCATGGTCATTGGTACTATTGCGCTGTCTTCCAACAAGATGTTCCTGGGCATGTTGTTCAGTGTTACTGATTAGCAGGGGAGATTTGACCTGCCTTCTCAGGAGTCTGTGTCCAGCCAAAGTGCATGTCTCCCTGGAGGAGATGTAGTCCCATGGTGAGTCAGACAGGCTTAGTTGTGCAGCTGTCCTGCTGTCAGTATTATGTCCCTTAGAGATCACAACAGGTGCAGGGTGTGTGCCAGTTACCAGTCTTACTAGATGCTCCTTTTAGGGAGAAAGTTGACCTGGAACTCCAGTGTGGAATTGACTCTTCCAACTGTGTTTCTGGGAATCAGGCTCTGGGTAGATCTTTAGAAATAAATGCATGTTTAAAAAAAATTACCTACAACCTTACCATCAATATTTCCTTCTAGCAGAAGTAGACTAACTCAAAACTTGCCTAGTCTTTCAGATCAAAATAAAGACAACTATTAGGAAATAATTCATTATTGAGCATGCAACCTTTAAAAATCCCCCAAGAGATCCTTGACCTTGTGTTGTCAGACAAAATCCAAAATACTTGCACAATGATCTCATGACAACGGTTTGACCAGGATAGGTGTATTCTAAATCCTTCTACTCGCAGAGCACTGATCCTGGCTTCAGCTGCTGTTTGGCACTGCTCTGAGCTGTTACACTGCAAAGACAAAGGTCAAAGATCAGCTGAAGGTCTCCTGATAAAAGCACCTCAAAAATCACTAAACAGGAAAGGTCCTAAGGAAGGATATGGTGATTTTTTATTTTTTTTTTTTATACTACATTCAGCTCATTTTCAGGGATGTGCGTTTTTATCTTGGCAGCTTCAGAAGAAGTTTGGAAACATCTTCAGTCTCCAGAACTGCTGGACCAACCTGGTAGTACTGAATGGGTATAAAACAGTGAAGGAAGCCCTGGTCCACAGATCGGAGGATTTTGCTGACCGGCCATATGTTCCAATATATGAACATATGGGCTACGGAGAGAAATCTGAAGGCAAGTCACTTGGAAATGGATGTTCCCTGCTGGCAGTAGCACAAGGAGGACTGGGTAGATAGTGGGTAGATGGGAGAATTTCTCAGAACAGTGCCACCTTCTCATGTCCCTCTGTTCAGTCTCCTTGCATGTCTGCCACCCTTTGGGGTGACAACATCAGATTTGATGAAAAGGGAGCTCCCTTTAGTGGCTGTAGCACAGCTCCAGGTTCTGGCACACACCTCTTCAGCAGTGCTAGGACACTGTCTGTGATACAACTTCCCAGCCACCATTGGAGCTGGTAGCTCCCAACATTCAGTGATTAGTGCTTATGCTCACACACTATGGGCGTGTCGTTGAAATCACACAAAAAATGGTAACTTTCTTCCAAGACTAGTGTTATCCAGCATCCAGCACACATCTCTCATCCTCAGCTCCTGTGCGGTGGCGCAAGCTGCTACCCAGTTCACACAAAGTAACAGTGCAATGCTGAATGGTTTGGGGGAATGTTTCCTTTATCCTTAGCAGTACTTGTTGCTCTCATTGCCCTCCACCTTCACTGGCCATGCATGTGATTTGAAAGGTGCAGTAATCCATTTTTAGAACTGCTGTATGAATAAGCTGTACACGATCAGACTTTCATCTATGCACACAGACCTCTATCTCCAAACTCACATTTGCTATTCTCTCAGAGCTCCTGACATTTCTTATTCATCCATTACTCCAGGGATTATTATAGCAAGATACGGACATGCCTGGAAGGAGCTAAGGAAATTCACACTCTCGACCTTTAGGAACTTTGGGATGGGAAAGAAATCCTTGGAGGACCGAGTGACAGAGGAAGCAGGATTTCTGTGCTCTGCAGTCAGTTCTGAAAAAGGTTTGTCACATCCTGAAGGATGGGGAAATCATAGAAAAAGGCAATACAATGATGCAGAGAGAAGAGTAATACTACAGTCACTTATTTGCATGCAGTGCTCTCTTCCTAATCAAATGCAGTGGTTTTAGTCTATAGGCATTAGTGACCCTGCTCTATCTTGAAGACACTTCCACTTTACACAGTGGAGCTACTGTAACACTAATCCCTTTGAAACAGGAAACAAATAGGACATAAATAGAAATAAAGATGTAAAATATAATTACTGCCATAACTATTACCTTTATGAAGTTTAGTGGAACATATTGATATTATCACATGCAATAGAATTGCAGCTGAGAGTTTTCACAGCACATCACCTATCATCTAGACACAAAGCGAAGTGTTGTCAAGTCACAGAACAACTATGCGACTCAGCTTTTCTTGAGAGTTTTCTCCTTTAAACAAGGATCAACAAAACAGTAGTAGGAGATGAGACAATCTTCACTTTCTAGTATGATGCATTTGTATGTTGAGTGGTTTAGGGGATTTTTCTCTTGAAGGCTTAAGGAGGCATTTGTGTATTCTTGTTGCTGACAGCAGAGGTCCAAGAGCTTGGCATAGCTTAACTTCATTGTTTGGCCTCCACTTTCAATTTTAGGTCGTCCTTTCGATTTACGTTTTCTTGTAAATAATGCAGTCTGCAATGTGATCTGCACCACCGTGTATGGAGAGCGTTTTGACTATGGTGATGAGACATTCAAGAAGCTGATACATTTGTTTGAAAAGTCCCTGAATGAAGAAGCTGGATTCTTGCCTCAGGTAAACCAAGAGCATAAGATGTTCTGTAAGAAGCTGCCCTCTGTTGCTTGAGAGCGTTGTATTTTCATTATTTTTCTTTTTGCATCTTCTCTCTCTGGTTCTGACATCCCAGCTTCTTAACGTGGTGCCCATTTTGTTGCGCATCCCTGGAGTGCCACAGAAAGTCTTTCGAGGGCAAAAGGCGTTCATGGATTTCATAGATGTGCTTATAAATAAGCACATGGAGACCTGGAACCCTGCTTACATTCGAGATTTCAGTGATGCATTTTTAAAGGAAATGGAGAAGGTAGGATGACACCAACAGAACCTTGGGGTCTAGAGAAAATTCCTCTATCTGTTTAAGCTTGCTGATAGAAGTTGACTTTCCTCATAGAGCTGTATAAAACGTCTATTATCTAATTTCCTTATTTTTCATTCCACATTGTATCTTGAGAAGAAAGGTGTTAACTTCTTCATGCTGTGACCTCCTTTATCGTCTTAAGAGACCGCATTATCTGCTGATGTTCTTGTTCCCATTTTCTACTTTCCCTTTCCCCTCAGAGTCTAGCAACTCCCTTCTTTCCAGCCTACACCATGTTGAAGGCATTTAAAAGGCAATGATTGAGTTCACTAATACTTCTAAGTTTGTGCCAGGGAACAAGTCAAACATTCAAGATTCTGTGTACATCAGTGCCTTAATGACTGATGTCTTAAAATCAGTTACAAAACTGCAGCAACAGACTGCCTTTTTGGTATCATTGCCCAGTCCGTAGCCTGTCTTTAAACCAAGTTATGACTTGGAAAGATGGCATCTCCTTTAGGATGTGTGTCTTTGAATTGCTTGGTTAAGACCTAGTTCCCTGCAGATCTGATGAAGGCCTAAATCTGAATCTCACTGAAATAAAAGGAGTCTTTCCTTTGATTCAGTTAGGCATGAAGTCAGTGTAAAATCAAAGGTACTTGCGTCAGCCCATCCATCCACCATATGTTTCTGCACATGGATTCACTAAATTTCAAGTGCCAGATGAGCAGTAGTAGCAAATTCTGCCTGTGAATTGCTTCTGCCATCCAAGTCCTCAGGCTGGACTGCTGCTCTGCATAATAAACCCTGCCGTGCTGCGGGCACTGTGCACCTCCAGTCCATGCGTTAGCCCCCCAGCTCGCCTGGGCAGAGCAACATGACTGATGTTACTCTGCACTGAGCAGTACTATTTGGGGATGGACGTGAGCTTGACCATGTTGCCTCTTATCACATCTTTCTGCTGTTCACTAAGGTCCCCTGATAAGCCAGTCTGATAAATCCCTTTACTGGGTTAACTTTGGTCAGATCAGCCCCATAGCTCCCTTGCCAGAGTTCTTTTGTTGGGATAACAGTTCAGTCTTAAATGCCTTACTAATTGCTATCCATATTACAACAGCATCAAAATATACAGAATAACTTAACAGAAGCTAGTCCCTAGGAAAGGAAAGTATAAAGAGGATTAGAAAAGACAAGCAGATGAACTCATGCAGAGAGCTTGTCATATCTCATATGCTAACAAATTTGAGCTCAATTAGCATTTGGATGAGAGACCAGTTTTGCTGAAATTGGTGTTGCAGACTTAATAGGCAGCAATGATACCCTGATCTCTTTTTTTTTTTTTTTTTTTCCAAATTGTAAGAAAATAACAGGGCAGAAGCAGTGAGAATCTGTAATGCATAGCTATAGATAACCCCCTCAAAATACTGTTAATTTTGCATTTGCCACATCAATGCAGCCTCCTCTCTACTGTGTGGGTTTTATGATCTGATCAAACCTGAATAACTGTATTCCACCTCCTCTGGGGGAGGATGTTACAGCAAGTGGCAGGGGCCTGCTGTCTGTTTGAGTTGCGAGCACAAGGCACTCACTTCTGTCCCGAAGGCAGGTGTAGTGTTCATCTCTCAGGATACAGGAGGTGACAGGGTTACTGAAGTACATCAGTTATACACAGACCATTGCCTGTGCTGTGCTCTATCCTCCCAATTAACTTCTTAGTCAGCAAAAATGGATTTAGGCCTTCTCAGTACTTCTCTGGAACAACAATCTTCTCACCCAGCAAGTACCCCAGCTCCAGTCACCCACTTGTTTGCTCTCCACAGGGTAAGGTGGCTGAAGAGAGTGGTTTCAACTATAACAACCTTCGTCTAGTGACCGCAGACTTGTTTATAGCTGGTTCTGAGACCACCTCCACCACTCTCCGGTGGGCACTTCTGTACATGCTTCTCTACCAGGAAATACAGAGTAAGTCAGAAGACAGGCAGAGGTATGGTTGTCTTCCCTTCAACCTTCATTTTTCTGCGAGGAGACTGAATATCTCTCCATGGTTTGAGGATTTTGCAATGAACAGCTTTGGTGATTGTTGGTCTAGCAGAAGCCAGAAGAAACACTTCCAGAACATAGCTGTTCTGGCCGGGACTGGTGGCAGGGAGGAAGCCCTGGTAAAAAGACTGGAGTTGGAAGGGCAAGTTCGCTCTTGCCTTCATTTTGAAGGCTTCTTGGGGACTTTCAGTGGCCAGAGTACCCTCTTTCTGGTATTTGGAGTAGCTAATCTGTTTTAATTCTCTAATGCTGCATGCCCAGGTACCCTTTCAGCTGCATAGAGGTAAGGTAGCATGTCGAGTGACAAGACCTTAATTAAAGACACTACGTACAAAGAATAGTTAGACAGATGGCTCTGACCAACTGGAAACAAATGCATTCCCCTCTAGTTTCTGTTCCTTTCTCTAACTGCTTGTCCTGCTCTCACCCAGTATCTACAGTCTCATGCTGCCAGCCTTCCTACAGCTTGTACTAGCCCATTCTGCTTATTTAAGGGCACTCTAATTCCTTAGCTATGCCGCTTTCAGGTAAGGTCCAAGCAGAGATTGATAAGGTGATTGGCAGAGAGAGATCACCCACCATGAAGGACCAAGTGAACATGCCCTACACCAGTGCTGTGATCCATGAAGTGCAACGCTATGGGAATGTCATTCCTATTGGACTACCTCACATGACGTACCGGGACACTGAGTTGCAAGGCTTCTTCATTCCCAAGGTGACTGTGACCAGAAAGGCAATGCAGCATCCTCTCCCTGTGCAGATGCCAGGCATGGGGTGTGGGTGACCCCACGCAACATTGCAGTATTGCACTTCCAGCCCCAAATTGCAGTCACTGGCGAGCACTGAAGTAGGACATTTTTAAATACTAAATCCAGGCAGATGGTCACATTTGTGCTCTATGTTTGCACTGGTTCTGTGGGAGCCCAACTGCAGTGGCAGCTCAGTGCAAAGGTTTGCTTTCCTCTCAATGAGCTGTGACATTCACTGCCTGTGTTGGGAAGAGAAAGCAACAGCCTAACAGGCTCTCTGGAGGCACACGACACCAGTTTACTGGCTTTCCTAAGATCGTAGTAGTTAAAACTCTAATCTCTGAAACTACTCAAATGCCACTGGCATTCAGTCCACTGCCATTGTGACAGGCAGCTGCCCTGGCAGCACTGGTAGCAATGCAAGCCTGGGATTTTTTTTTAGCCTTGCGATACCCCCTCTAGCTTAGACCACTGGCATGTGAAACAGGAAAGCTTTGCAATTTCCCATGGCCCCTGCAAAAGTTGGGCTTCCAAGTCTGTCAGTCGGCTTTTTCTCTCCAGTGATAAAACAAGTCCAGGAGGATCTAAGAAGCAAGAGTCTGTTTCCCCTATGTAACCATGAAATTGGCATTTGCATGCAATGGCCTTTGTAAGGATACAAATTGCAAAAGTTCAGATGCTTCAGACCATAGGGCAGGCACCATATGTCATTGGAAAAGTGCCCTGCTTTACCTCTGTTCTAAATAAGATACAGAAAAGGAGATCAGTGCCTTATTCTGAAGCACTAAATGATGGTTGCTATTAAATGGGAGACAGACTAAAGGGAGACCAGCACTGATCCATTGTGCCAAGATAATGCTGCTGTTCTCATGTAAGTTTGTTCTTCTTGTGGATGACTGCAGGGGACAACAATCATCATCAACTTGTCTTCTGTGCTGAAGGATGAGGCAGTCTGGGAGAAGCCAAACGAGTTTTACCCTGAACACTTCCTGGATGCAAACGGGCAGTTTGTGAAACCAGAGGCCTTCCTGCCTTTCTCAGCAGGTAAATCTGAGGGGAGGATCCAGCTGCAAGTCACAGCGATTCCAGCATGACATAATGTCCTCTTACATAAACACTTTCTACTCCCTCTCTTGCAGGTCGACGTGCCTGCCTGGGGGAACAGCTGGCCAGGATGGAGCTCTTTATTTTCTTTACCACTCTCCTGCAGAAATTCACCTTTGTGGTCCCTGAGGACCAGCCCAGGCCACGGGAGGATGGTCACTTTGCCCTCACAAGCTCTCCACACCCATACCTGATACAAGCTGTCCCAAGATAAGTGCACACCACTCTCACTCACAGGCCACCACCGACACAAACTGTCAGAAATGTTGCAGGTGTAGGAAGGATAATGCCAGGTTCTGGTCAAGACCTCTAGAGTCTGTGCAGATGTCCCCAGCTGTGAACGTAAAGATCTGACCCAATATATGGCTTAGCTTAATTCTAGTCCTGGATCTTGAATCAGCCAGTCATAGCAAGTTACGAATGACGATCAAGTTTGCAAGTACATATATGGCTAATCAGCCAGCTCTGCTTTACTTTGGGCTCTCAACAGTTGCAGAATCAGTTCACTGAGCACACAGCTACTGATAGAATTATTAGTTCTGAATTAGTTTACTGAAATACAAGGGTATCCTGGGTAAAAGACAACTCTGGGGTCTTGCCAGTTCTAGGAGCAGAAAAACTTGGAAAGATCTCCTGGCCCACTCCCTTCCTTGTCAGCCCCAATACATACCCAGCCACACTCCGCCTCCCACTCAGTGCCATTCCACAGCAGTGTGTGCCTCTACCTGGTGCCAGGGGAGTCCAGCTCTGGCTGGGTTCCTGAAAAAACAGTCCAGGGTCACTCAGCTGATATGGCATGTGCTGCTGATGGGCAGGACAAGAGCTTCAGCTCCAACAGCATTTAAACTGCAGTTTCAGAGCAGTGCTCCTGGAAAATCTTACCATCCTATCCCCCCCATTCCATCCTGTTTATTGCATACTGCCAACCATTGCACACATATTGCACTGCCTTCATTTATAGCCCCAAAGAAAGTAAGTTTTCATCGTGACAACCCTTATCTCACACTATGCCTCCAGTAGGAGTAAGTACCAAGAAGGAGCACATAAATAATCTATATGGTGTTTCAGCCACAGAAGCAGGTCATTTGTGAAATGCAGAAATGCCTATATTTCAGAGAAATCCTGATGTTTAGATTAGATCTCCTCTAATTAGGTCCTGAAAACTGCTTTTTTTGCAGTGTTGCATGAAGTCAGCTCTTGGGCAGGTTTGGAACTCACAAAGGGATGGAGTTACACTGAAAGAGAACAGCTGTAGATTTCAGAGCTACCTTTCCCTTTCTTCCTGCAATATTTCTAACAAATTGTTTTTAAAGGTGTCTTAAGATATGTTGATGTTTAGATTAGTAGTAGCTAATTTTTAATGACATGGTGGAGAAGACCATACCATAAAGGAGCTTCTACACATAACCACAACTAAAAAATAAAACCCTCTGAAACTGAGTGCATGGGTGTGCACACATTCGTATCTATCTTTCTAATAGTAATTTTGGAAGCTATGAAAGCTATTGAATTATGCAAATAATTATTAATATAGTTAAAATTTTTACTTCAGCAGGAATGGCACTTTTATGGTTTTCATCTAAAAAATAATCTGAAAGAATAAAAGTGATCTGCAAAGTCTTCTTTCTTGCCTCTCCTCTTTGTGGTTGTCTCACAGTCCTACTACACACCTGCCTCAGACACTTAACATTTCTCTCCTTACAGCCAGCACGCCTCTTTCAAGATCCTTTCAGTGTTACTTTTCTGGTTGGCTCAATGACACTGAACTGGACATGCCTGGGTTTATAGTTACCAGCACACACATTAGTGTTTTTAAATAGGCTTCAGTGAACTAAACTTCAAATAGAAAGGATTCCAGCACTCGCGTATTTGGATATAAAGTGGGGGTATACCTACAGCACAGAGTGTCTTTCTAGCATGTGAGAATGCACTGAAAGAAAGTCAACGTGCATGTGCAAATATCAGCTGGCGTGGTCTTTTGGAGGCAAAAGGGCACAAATAGATCATTGCAAAATACAGATCTAAGACTGATAATCGGGAGGGGGAAAGCAAGTTCTCTAAGCTAAAAATGGCCGTAAAAGCCAACCAGCTGGCGTTGGGCTGGGGCAGGCAGTCACAGCACGGGTAGGAGCATGGGGCTACTGTGAGCACGGGGTCCCTGCTGGGACGCGTCCTGCTGCCTCCGGTCACCCATCGCCTCGGGGCCTGCACCTGCAAGGAGACCGCGACGGCAGGGCCGGGGGGCTCACCGGGGGCTGCAGTAGCTGCCGGGCCCTCCCCGGTCTCGGTCCCCTCCTCCAGGGAGGCTGCCATAAGCCCGCGACACCTTGAAGGCACCGCCTCGGTGAGCCTTGCGAGACTAAGCCCGCCCCTCCTCGCACC